AATGTGTGAAAAGAAAATTGAAGCCAGTCTATCTCCAGCTGTTGTTTTTATTCAAGGAACCTTAACATGGCGCAGTCAGTAATTGAAAGTAGTATTTCATAGTGATTAGTGAATAATAACAGTTATGATATGAGTGACTTCAGAGGGATGGCCCCCATGGATTTTTCGGGACATATCTCCAGAAACTGGATCTGAAAATTATTTAGTTGCCTCGGAAATGGGAAAGAAGGATGAAAAAATTCAAATAGCCCAACGTCTCCATTACATAGGTGAAGAAGGTTTTGTTATTTACAATACCTTCGCATTTGAGAATAACACCGAAAAAAACAAAATAAAAAGTGTACTGGCAATGTTCGAGAAATATTTTTTGCCGAAAAAAATCTTTCCTACGAACGTTATAAATTTTTTACGAGCAAGCAGATGCTAACGAAACAATGGAACAATTCGTGACGCATCTCAAGACTAAAGCACGTTCTTGCGAGTTTGGCGACTTGAAGGAGAGCCTAATTAAAGCAATTTTCACCTGTGGACTACAAGTCTTCGAGAAAAATTACTGCAAGACGACGAGATGGATTTAGAAAAAGCCGTGAAATTATGTATATCAGTCGAGAATTCGAAACAACAGTCTAATATTATTACACAGGCTTCCTGTTCATCAGATTCTATGGAAGTCCAGGCATTAAAAGAGTGTAGGAGTTTTAACTCTACTAACAAAGGACAACAAGAGAGCCGGACACCTCAACAGACAAAATGGACCATACCGGGGAAAGAGAGCTTGCTATCGGTGTGGAAGTTTTCATGGAAAAAACCAGTGACGAATCATCCTGATTTCATCCAGGATTTGGAGACCAGCTCCCCTACCCTTTTGGCTGATCATTGGCTTTGAGAGGGGCCAATGGGTACACGACTGATTGATGACGGCATGAAGTCCTTAGACATCGGTGCCGCCCTTCACGGGATACCCCTACCTGGCTGGGGTGGGATGGATGAAAAAGTTATTCATCCTTTAACGGGGTACATGATGGCCTCATTCGACAGAGTGTCGGGGCCTTCTATATCGGGAGGGGTCGTCTACAGCATAATCTGTGGCTTCCCTAACTAACGGGTTTTCGTGAGTTTCCGTTTTTTCGAAAACTCTCTTCGTCCCATGGAAGATGAGAGAAGAGCCGTGTCATCGGCGTACAGGGTGGAAAAAACCAGTGCGCGGCATACGGTAAAAAGTGAAGTGAACGCGGCTACTTGAATCGTTTCGCAATGATGTGCTTACAAAAAAATGTGAATATGGTGGAAGGAGACAATGATGAAGGTAGTGAAAATGAAAATTGTCTATTCATAAGGTCTGTAAAAGGTACAAGCCGCATGAATCACGGTTTGCATCCCTGTCAATAAATAATGTATTAATCGAATTCAAACTAGACAGTGGAGCTCAAGTCAATCTGATATCAGTAGATACATTAAATACTATTAATTTCAACCCTGAATTGATAATGATGAACGAAGTTCATTTGAAATCATGTACAAATAATACTTTACCAACTCTTGGAAAATGTGTTTTGGATTGTCAATACAAAAATAAGTCCTATAGATTGCAACTTTTTGTAGTTGAAATGGGATATCAATGCATGCTTGGTTTAGAAACATGTGAGGAAATTAATTTGTTAAAACGCATGATGTTGATAATTTTGATTCTGATGATGATTTGTCAATGACCGCGTCTGATAAGACATTGTATGAAAACCAGACAGATTGAAATATTAATAATAACTTATTTTATGGGGCTGATTAATCTTGATTGAAATGAAAATATATGATCATGTTTGTTTTTATTTTATTCGAATGATTAATGTATTTCTCAACTTGTTCAGTTACTTTTGTTATATATATAAAAAAAGGAGGTGTCATGAATATAGTTATTTCTGCTACTCACTGTACCTAAATGCTTTGTCCATGGATTGTACTTGTATGTAAAAAGTGATAACAGAAATGTGTGAAAAGAAAATTAAAGCCAGCTGTTGTTTCTATTCAAGGAACCTTAACAACCATCTGCAAACGAAAGCAAACGAAACTCATGTTTCTGGAAACTATTGGAGAATGGATACTGCAACCTTTGAGACATTATTGTCTATGGTGAAAGAAAGATTAACAAAGCAGCACACTGAAATGCGAGAACCAATCTCCAGAGGAACGTTTGGTAGCAACGCTCAGATTTCTTGCAATAGGCAGATCTTATGAAGATCTAAAATACTCCGTTGGAATTTCTGCTCAAGCACTAGGCTTCATAATACCACATATATGTTCTGTCATTCCGGTCCGCACCAGGATGATACACCTTTTTGCAATATTGAATCAAAGCTCCATAACCCTTATTCTTTAAATTTTTGTTTCCATAAAGCTGGATGACTTTTATACATTTCTATGAACTCAGTTAAAAACTCTTTGCCCATAAAACGACTGTTTAGAAAAAACTGTTAACTGTTAACGTATGGTACCAAGAAACAACTGTCGACTTTAACTTTCAGACAAGTCTCTGCATGATAAGACCGTAGCGTGCCTGGCCCGTGCTTAACCATTAACGCACAGATTTATCGACAGACTGAAACCGTGCTGGCTAAAGTCTTCAGACAAACCTCTGTGTGTATGGCGGGCTATTCAATTGCCGAAGCTACATTTTTCCATCTTCACTGACTTCTGAGAGATCAACCCATACTAAGACTTTTCGGACACTCGGTATATCGCAGACGTTTAACAACATTTGTTTTTGTGAACAAATTAGCTTTCTCATTCATATGTGCAAGTTTTCGATAATGTGAAAGGTACAATTCATAGTCACTGATAAATTTGTTTACAATTGCAACAGACCATTATTTGTCTGATATGGTAGATAATATTCTTATTATGTTTCTCAGCTCCCTCTTTCCAACTCACAACAACAGACACATTTTCATTACTAATTTATATTTCCAGTACCATTACCAAGTGCCACTACTATAACTGTTGATAATTAGTTCTTGTCTATACTCAGTGCCGTTTGGAGATATTTGAGGTCTTTCTGAATAGTCTATGATAAACGATTGTTTTCAGTCGAATTGTAAAACTGATCCACTATTTCTGGGTAATACCATCATAAGAGCGTAGACAAACTCTCAATAATGAAAACTCCGGTGAAATTTATCTATTGAAAACACTTTTCCATTACCAAAACTATACAACTGTCGCCGGATGCTCGTTTCGCAAACTAAGTCTGCTCAATTATGTCCCCAGTCATTTCTCAATAAAAACAAGAGCCACAGGTTCAGATGAAATTAAAATAGATATGCTACTTCTTTGCTGCCCCATAATACTACCATATCTCACTAATATAATAAATTCATGTTTGCAAAATAAAAATATCCTGAAATGTGAAGAGAAATACTGGCATACTGGCTCTTCCTAAAGTATCTAATAAAAATACTCTCAACGATTTGAGCTCCATAAGCATGCTACCTACTTGTTCAAAGGTATTGGAACAAATTATGAGTTTTCAAATCAAATGCTATTTAAATTCCTTTAATATTTCACCAATCAACCAGTCAGGATTTCGTAAAAAACACAGCTGTACAACTGGTCACTTGAAAATAACTGATGATATTTTCAAAGCTGCTTATCCAATTTTATTTGCTATTTTGAACTTCATCGAGTTCTCTGAAGCTGCTATAAATTTAATCAAAAGTTATTTTGAAGATCGCTCACAGTTTGTGGAAACTTCGAAGGGAAAATCAAACAGTGAATTTAAAAAATTTGGAGTGCCTCAGGGATCTACACTTGGACCGTTATTATTTTGCGTAAACACTTGTGATCTAGTATTTGTTTTAAGACATTGTAATTCACATATGTGTGCGGACGACACACAACTATATATATCATTTAACCCTAATGACGTTGCTACTGCTAATCGAAAATTGAATGGAGATCTAGCTCGTCTCATTTCAGCATCTGTAGCTCATAACCACAAAATCAATTCAAACAAAACTAATCTGCTTGTTTTTGGTTCTAATCGTAGCTTGGTGGAAAGATATATTAACATTGTTATTGGTGATACAGTAATATGCCCTAAGAACGTGGCAAAAAAATTAGGTATGAAATGGGCGTAAATTTAAGGTTTACAGAACATGTCAAAAAATGTGTTCAAAGAAGTTACATGAGTTTGAAAACGCTTCATCCTCATTGTCATTTATTATCAATAAGTTTGAAAATAAAATAATAAATGCGCTTGTATTGAGTCATTTTGCATATTATGATGTTGTGTACGATTCATGTCTGGATAAAAAAGCATTTTGAGAATTGAAAGGGTTCAAAAATCATGCCTTAGGTATATGTGGCATTAGAAAATATGACAAAATTTCATATAAACTTAGGGAAACCGAATGATCAACTTGAAAAATTGACGTGTTTTACACTCGGCTACCCACTTCCATAAAATATTAATTAAGAAATGTCCATCACATTTTTATAACAAAATTAAATTTCATAGCGATGTACATACTTTAAATTTGAGATTTGAGGGGTTACTTTTTCCTCCGCCCCATCGAACCACTCTATATCGACGATCCTTCAGTTATAACATATATAGTTTATATAATAATATTCCACAAAAATATAAGGTTAGTAAAGTTTCCTTATTTGAGTGCTATTAGTCATTAGATTAGATTTCATAGATTTTATACTTCTGAAAAATTTTCAGGATGAACATTTAACATGTTTTCCCTCCCTCTTCCCTCTCTCCTTGCTCTTTTTTTTTTCTTATTTTTTTTTTGTTTTTTCTCTAGTTTAGTTCTTTCCTTCAAGGCTAGAACTAAGATCAACAGTACCCTTGTGGTACATGTTGTTCTCAGCCTCATTTGTAGTTTTTTATTAGTTTTATAGATTGAATAATTATTGTGTTTATATGTAATAAGGAACTACAAATAAAGATTATATTATATTAAATTGGAGAAAATTATATCACAAAATTGTGTACTTACTTTGGTACAATATAAAAGCTTCATAACAGTAACTGCCATAACAAACCTCAGTGACACCAGTGGCTGCAACAGTTCCACAATTAGATAGTGGTCCTCCCTCGCAGGTATAGCAGTCATATGAGCAAAATGCTGCAAATAAAAAATAATGGAGCTTGAAAGTACCACCTGGGTTATTGGGGTATTTGTACATTCGGTACATATTTAGTCAACTTGCAAATAAACGATACACGTTTTCAATTTCATTATCTGAAGATATATGATTCCCAAAACTAAAGTTGAAATGTTCGGCAATCCCATTCAGTTGAAAAGCACTTATGATGCACTGTTTGGAACCTTTGGTTCCAAACACGACACGTGTTTCGATCACCAAGTGATCATCTTCAAAGAGGAAGATTAAAACTGAGAACTTGTGCGAGCTAATCCTATTTATGCTATAAAGGTAACCCATACAGGTAAACCATCCAGGCGTACCAACCATACAGGTAAAAATTTTAATTTCAGAGTAGGCAATGTGGTTATATAAATTTTATTTACAAAAATGAGAAGTTGAAAAAAATTACAAAATTGAAGAAACTAAAAGTTAAACTTTCCTTCGGTTATCTTAAAGGCGCGATTTTTTTCCATCCTTTACATAAAAGAGGACGTATGCTTCTCCACTCACAAGCGACTTTGGTGAAATTGGTGACACGTGTGAATCGTTGTATTTGTGCCACGCGCTAGTATACGGGTGTCTGCAGTATGCTGTATAATGTCCTCTGTTAGTAGTCCCACTGTGATTTAAAAGTGCATATAGATTATAACAAGTAGCCACATTTTCTCCTGCAAAATTGTCCATATCCAATCCTTCTAGAGGAAATTCGATGACATCATTCAATTTGCCTCTACTTTCCGTTGGAGAGAATCTTTTTAAATGTATTACTAAAATATAGGGAAACTTGTGGATTGACAGGGACTTTATGCATTTTCTCCTTTCCTTGCATTTCGAACACGTCGGTTTTTCAATTCCATCCAAAGTTTCTTCTCTTGTAAAATAATCTAAGCATTGCCACAAACTCAATTGGTCGGTTCTTTGTGGTATGAAGAGAGACAAATCCCAGAAAGGATCAAATGTTACTGAAGAGTATCCACAGTGTGTGCATTTCATCGTGGATTTCAATTGGCCAACGAAATTATCTACAATCTTAGAGTTATGCATCCTCAAATATGTGAGCCATGATTCTTGTGCATTTCCGCTGTCGCTCAATTTTTCGTCAATCTCCGTTAAGATTGGTTTAGGTTTCTCATTAATTATATTAACCTCTTCATGTAATCCTTCTAAAAGATAACGGAGAAACTCCTGGGCGTCTTGATGGGAATTACCCATGAATCGAGGAGCAAAACTTTGAATCTGATTTTTTAAGGAGGCTGTATTTACTACTTTATCAAATGAATCTTCTGACCACAACTCCTTGATGACTTCTGCAAACGATTTTATTAAAGCACCCTCCATACTAGAAATACTAGTATTGATATCTTTCATGAATTCATCCTTTTTCAAATATTCCAATAACCATCTCGTATTTGATAAACATTGAATTACGCTGTTCATGAAACAGGTGTTACCAATATTTTTTAAACCATTTAACCCAAAGGTTTTGACTGAAGAATTTATCACTGAACAATCCGAAATATCTTTGAAACCCATTTGAGAATTTTGCTGAGATAAAGTATTTTTTTTTATTTGCTTTTATTTTAATTTCATTAAGTGGTTTCTTATTACCTCTCTTTTTTTTATAAAATTGGTTTTCAGGAAACAAGTAAATTTCATCAAGTTTTTTGGAATCAGGGAGAGTACCGAAAAACGAAGCTGCATTTCCTCTTTGGATGGCAATACTAATTTTCTGAATGAGAAAAGATGTGGCTCTTGATTCGTGGGTTTCATCGGTTACCTTTTTTCCAATTTCATTGATGAAAGATGATGCTTCAGGGCCAAAAACACCAAACGTTTCAATAGCTATTGGGCGAAAGATATAATTATTTCCCAAATTCTGATATTTCCGTAGTTTGGAACTTTCTCCTATACCATACAGGTAAACCAACCTGAATTAATTTTACCTCATCTATTATTTTACAATATATGTATATATAAAACAATTTTCAGCTATTTACAATATTGCCTATCCAAATTCATTTTTGCAATGTGTGCTTATGTAGTAATCAGTAAACCCAACAACATTATTTTATTTTATTTTAACAAGCTATATAGTATGCTCTTTGGTATAGGTCCGTCATTGTTATTCATAATATTATTGTGTTTACTTATTTCTACACTTTCATAGGCATCTAGTTGCCTGTTGTTGTTAACTTGTCTAACCAATCTTATTGAACTGAAATCTATGGAATGGTTTTGTTGCAAAATATGATGAGCGACTGCTGAATGTTCAGGTTTTCCATATTTCAAGTGTGCTATGTGTTCCTTATATCTTACTTCAATAGATCTTTTTGTCTGTCCATAATACTTTGCATTGCAGTCCTTACATTCAATTTCGTGAATTCCAGACTTTTCCGAATCCTCGACTTTATCTTTTGAACTTCCCAAAAGGGTCTGTAGTGTATGACTTGTTTTAAAAACCACCTTCATACCTAGTTCCTCGAAAATCTTTCCAAAGTTCCTCGTATATTGGTGGTATGGAACTGAGATGTATTTATCTCGGTTTTTGTCCTTTTTGAAAGTCGAGATTTTGTTCGTCTTTTTCCTTATTATGTCATCTACAATACCCCTCGAGAAACCGTTAGTGGCTGCTATTTCCTGTATTGTACGTCTTTCTTATGTGAACCTATCATGTGTTAGAGGAAAAGTCAAAAGACGATGCACTAAAAAATTCAACCCAGCACGTTTGTGCTGTCCACAGTGATGTGAACTGTAATATACCTGTATGTGCTTGTTTCTTTTCTAAATATATCGTATTCTAACCCTCCATATTGGTTCCTCATTACTAAAACGTCAAGAAATGGTAGTTGTTCCTTATTTTCCAACTCATACGTGAATTTTATTGATGGACATCTATTATTTAAAATGGAAACAAAGTCGTCATTATTCGATTTTTTGGTATCGAATATCGTGAAAATATCATCCACATACCTTAGCCAAATTCTAGGAAAATACTTCGACTTTTCTTTGGTTTCCATTTCGAATCTGCTCATGAACAGGTCTGCCAGATAGGGGGACAAGGGGTTTCCCATGGCCGTACCTTCCTGTTGTTCATAAAAGCAATCTTCTACCTGGAACCGATGTGTATGAAACAAAATCGGTTACAGGTAGAAGGTTTATGAACAACAGGAAGGAACGGCCATGGGCAGACCTGTTCAAACAAAAAAAGGTTGAAAAATGACAACCGTCATTTCTTATTGAATATTGTCTGTATGCAACGCGAGAGTCTAGTGCAAAGAAAATAAAACCAAAACGGAAATCATATCCTTTGGGTGACGTCAGTTAGTTGTTAAGTGAGCAATAACAAATTTAACACCGGTTGCACAAGAATAACTATTTAGTATACAAACTGAACATTGAGCAGAAAGCTTTTTAATCTGTCGATCACAGAATGAATATGACTTATGGCACACATATGAAAAACATATTCTTCATTTTTGAATACAGTTTTTTTCATTTACATTAATGATTTTTCGTAATTATAGAATTCATCAGCATGGATTATTGAAAAAAAAACATAATGTCGGTCCACAAAGACCCCTAGATACCAATTTTGAATGAAATCACATAATAATATCAAACATCAATCGTTATTATAAATATTCATGATTTCTAATCGAAAATTCTTTATATCGGTCCTCACAAACCGCACCGCTTGTTCATCAAATCTGAGAATAAATCACAAATGTCTTCATCTGATTATATGAAGCAAAGTTCATTACTATTAAAATTACCATTTTTCATTGTTATGAATTAGTTCACTTGTAATAATTAAATTTTAACCCAGTAAACCACGCGCTTTAATATAAAGCCATACATGAATAAAATCCTAGTACCACAAAAATGTGGTTGGGTCAATCACGAAGTGCGTGTACGGCTGGACTAAAGACAGTTACTCAAATCTTGGTTCGAGAATTATAGTCTGATATTCTAGTAAAGTGCTTCATTTGAGTCGAAAAACAATCAAGCCAAGAAATTCTTTGCCTGAAAAATTCATGTAGAAGTCGCCGCTTTCACCTGATAATTTTACGAATAGGTAACTCACTGAGAGAGATAAAGAGTTTTTGAAGAAGATACATACATAATGTATGTAATAAATGTATTTGTATTGCACGTGTTTAGATACTCAAATCGATAGTGTTTTAATGAAAAGTAGGGAATATATTAATCATACTGACCTTTTTGACAAAAGAAAATAACCAGTAACAAATCCGGAACAACAGAACGTTTCATTTTCATTCTAAAATTATTTTCATAAACTTTTCCAAATGAATAATATCCCAAAAGTGCTACTGATAAATATGAAAATATGTATTTAACGATAAGTTTACTAATTACCTGACTAATTGTGTATTTGGGCGAGTGTTTATCAGTGCACTAATAATTATTCAGGATTAGGGTTTTACATGAAGGTCTCCTTATTTTTGAAATCAGATCGAATGAATTAAATCGGCAAGTCACAAAATCTAACTCTCATCCACTGAATGATTTCTCATAATTCTTCGACAGAGAATAATTCCTCATACAAAATCATTATTTCATGATATCATACTACCATTTGTGAGGTTAGAAATTCAATATTTGGGATATGGCTATCACAGATTCCTTTTAGGTCGACAACTCCAACGAGAAAAGAAATTAATATTTTATTCGGTTTAACGTAAATTGAGGTCATTTGGAACTTCTGACGATCCATCTGAAACGTTAGATGGAACCCTGCATATATTTTCAAACCATTCGATGAGACATAAAAATTCTTCTTTCAAATGGATAGCACACGGTTTCTTACTCAGAATGGTGGCGTTTTCTATGAAACCAACTTTAAATGTTCATAATATCGTTTACTTCGACTATACATTGTGTTATTTTTCATAAAATACAATTTATACATTTTCATTTCAAAAATCTCTACAGAGAGTGCTATTTTTCAAACTCTAATATTGATGAATAGTATGAACTAAATGAATAATGAAAAACTAAATTCTGTTCAATTACATTCCGAGTCAATGAAAATATTTTTTGATATGTACCGCTCTTGGTGGAATCAAATGTTCCAAGTCACTTGAACACCCCCCGTGAAAGTATCTATAGATGCTCCAATCTTTCTTCGATGGTCCAGACCAGGGGTCTCCAAACTACGGCCCGCGGGCCAAATCCGGCCCGCCAGTGTCATCAATCCAGCCCACGACAGCCAATGATTTATTGTCATCAATTTGACTCGCGACAGCCGATGATTACCTAATTGTTGTTACTATTGCTGTGATAAGTTGAAGAAGAAAACACAGAATGATAATTACTCGGTTTTATTTACTTACAAGGTAAAACTTAACGACAGAAATGTTGACAAAGAAAACAACTTAATTATCTAAGTTTAAGCATATTGATAACTAACAAATAATTGAAATGAATCACAGTAAAACAAAAACAATAATGAGATTTATGTAATTGTAATTTCCACCGACAATACTTTGTAGTTGTGGATCAATGTTACTTGTACCAATTATCAAAGGAGATTTAAGATGCTCATCGGTTAATTGAGATCTGTAAACATTCTTTGTGTACTTCATCTTGGAAAACGTTTTCTCACATAGGTAGTACCAAAAACAGAAAACAACCCACGAGCAAATTTATGCAAATTATCAAATTGTTCCAGTGGAAGACTCTTATAAAATTCCAACAAAGATGAATTTTGATATTTGTTCTTAAGCATATCACTGCACCGTAAATTAATAATTTCCATTTGGACTTCCGGAGCCAGGGTTTCAATGTCAGAATCAAAAGGATTTTGAAAAAGCTCAATTTCATTCGCAATGACATCAAAATCTGAAAAAAAATATCTAAATTTATCTTCAAAGCACTCAAAGTTTCGATTGCAAAATTGACGGGAAATTCAGTCTCTGTAGTGTGGCTGAATATTTCACATGTTTCAAAATGTGTAACATTTTTTACGTAATTGCAATTGAAATAATATTATTTTCTGCCTGTCCTGCAACAGTGGCGCGGGGTTCCACATCTCTATTTAGGAAACAGATAGAAATCTAAATTTCTATATTACCTTATTACTCGAGCTTGACAAAATAAAAATATTGGCGGTCACACAGGGTGTTCAATTTTTTCTGGGCGGATCCCAACTGTGTTTTTTCAAATGGCAACCTATATTTTCTATCTTTTTTTCGGTTTCTACATAGAAAATAAAAGACACTTCATGTATATCTTCGCTTCGAAAATATTGACGATTTTCGAGATATCTAGCATGACAGGTTTTTTTTCCAATATTCGTCACCCAGAATATTTGAAATTATAAAGTTGTGCCAAGTACAATTTAATTTTTTTTTGTCAAATATTCTACAGTGGTAACTCTCTCAAACGATGTATCTGAAGTCGACCTCTGATATACAGGGTATGAAAAACCGCTTGCCACATATTGTAAAGAAAAATTTGCAGAATCTTCCTTATTTTGAATGGAACACCCCGTATATTATGGATCCATTAGGAGCGTCAACAAAACATCTACAGATTTCATTGAGTATTCCCTATGGCTAGGTTCAATAGTTTTTCTTAAAAAAAGCATTTTTTTCGAAAAATGGTCGTTCTTCCTATTTCTACGCCATAAACTCGATGAAAGACTTTTTTCAAAGCGAAATCCATTTGACGACTGATAAGAATGTACGAAAGATATCTCATTTCAATTTTGTACATTATAGCGTGTCCTATATAGTTTTTCTTATTTTTATTTATTTTTTTTCTAAAAATGACAACTCTCTATTGTATCGCCATAATATCAATGATTTTTTTACTGTGAAATCCATATGTGACGGTTGTGATCGAGATATATATTATGTTTATAACACATTTATTCTCTAAATAGAACACCGTGCAATTTCTTCATTTGATGCATAGCTTTTGTCCAAGCCTTTCCTTAAAATATCGCCCCATGCCTAAAATCACCTGTTGCTAGATAAACAAGTTTTGAATTACACCGCAAAATGTACGTTCTTGAATAATTCCAATAATTTAAATGATCTCGAAGTTTGTGCCATATTTTTTCGGTCTAAAACAACCTCAGCAAATTAAATAAAATTAAACGATTTGTTGAAACTGGATGTATCAATTATTCTAAACATGAGCGCATCAAGCCAACTACTAATGAAGATAATGAATTGCAAGTTCTTCTTGCTGTTGAAGAAGATTGGTGAAGTAGTGGATATAAGTGAGAGATCAGTGCAACGAGTTTTGAAGAAACATCGCTTTCATCCATCTCATACTACTGTATACCGATTTTGAGAAAAGAGTGAGATTTTGCAATTGGGCCATGGGAAAAATTCGTCGAAACAAATATTTTTTCAATAACATTTTATGGACAGATGAATCGACATTCCATAAAAATGGATTTGTGAATCGACATAATTACCATTATTATTATTCGACAGAAAATCCCCACCTATTGAGACAGGTGGACCATCAATACAGGTGGTCGATAAATGTCTGGGGAGGCATCATTGGAGAATATGTAATTGGTCCATACTTTTTTCAGGTACATATGAATGGAACAATGTATGTGCTCCTGCTCACTATTCGGCAGGAGTGAGAGATTATCTAAATGAAGTATTTCCCAATAAATGTATAGGACGGAATGGGCCTGTACGGTGGCCCGCTAGATCACCAGATTTAACAAAACTGGATTTTTTCTTATGAGGATACATAAAAAATATGGTTTACGTTGAGCCACCAACTTCTCCCGAAAATATGCGACTTAGAATAACGAATGCTTTTCGCAGCATTACACCAGCTGTCTTGCGCAGGGTAGAACAGTCTTTCAAACATAGACTTCAGCTCTGCATTCAAGAAAATGGAAGACATGTTGAACATATTTTATAAAAGTTTCGTTATCAACCTTCATTAAACTCTTTCTTTTTCAGTTTTGTAGTTTATCAGTTGACAAATTTAAATATCTAGAACTTAAGCCCTGAATAATTCATGAATATACACCATAACATGAAAAAAAATTAGTTTTTTCATTTAATCTTATTTGGTTTGATATTGCACGATTTATGGGAAAAATTCCGCATCCAATGAAAACAATAATTTTCCATTTAGAAAAATGTGATAGGTACAAACATTTATTTCGTAAAAAAATATTTGTTTGGACACGCTATAATGTTCAAAATTGAAACAAGATATCTTTCGTACATTCTTATCAGTCGTCACATGGATTACGCTTTGAAAAAAGTCTTTCATCGAGTTTATAGCATAGAAATAGGAAGAACGACCATTTTTCGAAAAAAATGCTTTTTTAAGAAAAACTATTGAACCTAGCCATAGGGAATACTTAATGAAATTTGTAGAGGTTTCGTTGACGCTCCTTGTGGATCAATAATATTCAGGATGTTCCATTTAAAATAAGGAAGAGTCTGCAAATTTTCATTTACAATATGTGGCAAGCGGTTTTTCATACCCTGTATATACCGTGTTAGGAATCACACGTTAAAAGGTAAGACCTCGTTAATCCTTAGCTGGCACAAGTTTCGACTTCTGAGGGTTGTCGTAGGTAGGGGTACGACAGCTGGTTAACGGAAAAACAGATTTAAAACAGATTTTTTATATTACAGGTCAACTTCAGATATATCGTTGAGAGTTATCACTATAGAATATTTGATAAAAAAAATACAATTAGACTTGGCACAACTTTATAATTTGAAATATTCTGGGTGACTAATATTGGAAAAAAAACTGTCATGCTAGATATCTCGAAAACCGTCAATATTTTCGAAGTGAAGATATTCATAAAGTATCTTTTATTTTCTATGTAGAAACCGAAAAAACGATAAAAAATATAGGTTGCTATTTGGAAAAACACAGTTGGGATCCGCCCAGAAAAAATTGAACACCCTGTGTGACCGCCAATATTTTTATTTTGTCTAGCTCGTGCAATGAGGTGATATTATATAAATTTTGATTCCTATCTGTGTCCTAAATTGGGATATGGAACACCGCGCCTCTTTTGAAGGACCCTGTATATAGATTATCACTGTATTCATTTTCGAATTACCGAAATTATACCCATTTGTCGGAGTCGACCGCTGTTGAAACAAAAAACATCTCCCGTCGCTTCAAATAATACATATAAAATATATTCGCAAAGAGACAGAATCAACAAACTTTCTCGAAGATAACAAATATATTCCAACGAAATCCATGTCTGCAATTTGGCTGGATACCCAAAGAATTTCTCATTAACTTACTCGTTCTCTTTCTATCCCCGCCTAATAATAACTGACCTTTCTGTTAGTTTTTCAAAT